AACTACTACCCTTGGCATTACTACTGTAGAATCTACCACTCTGGGCACCACTTCTGTAGAAACTAAAACCCTTGGCACCACTTCTGCAGAAATTACTACCCTGGAAACCACTTCTGCAGGACCCATTTCTGCAGAAACTAGTACCCTTGGCACCACTTCTGCAGAAATTACTATGCTGGAAACCACTTTTGCAGGACCCACTTCTGCAGAAACAACCCTGCTCACCACTTCTGCAGAAACTTCTACCCTTGGCACTACATCTGTAGAAGCTACTACCCTGGGCACAATTTCTGCAGAAACTACTACGCTTGGTATTACTACTGTAGAATCTACAACCCTGGGCACCACTTCTGTAGAAACTACCATGGAAACCACTTCTGCAGGACCCACTTCTGCAGAAACAACCCTGCTCACCACTTCTGCAGAAACTTCTACCCTTGGCACTACATCTGTAGAAGCTACTACCCTGGGCACAATTTCTGCAGAAACTAGTACCCTTGGAACCACTACTGTAGAAACTGCTACCCTGGGCACAACTTCTGCAGAAACTAGTACCCTTGGAATCACTTCTGTAGAAACTGCTACCCTGGGCACAAATTCTGCAGAAACTACTACCCTTGGAATCACTTCTGTAGAATCTACCACTCTGGGCACCACTTCTGCAGAAACTAGTACCCTTGGAACCTTTTCTGTAGAAACTACTACCCTGGAAACCACTTCTGCAGGACCCACTTCTGCAGAATCTAGTACCCTTGAAACCACTTTTGCAGAAACTACTTCCCTGGGCACAACCTCTGCAGAAACTACTGCCCTTGACATTACTTCTGTAGAAACGACTACCCTTGGCACCACTTCTGTAGAAATAACTACTCTGGGCACAACTTCTGCAGAAACTGCTACCCTTGGCACCACTTCTGCCGAAACCACTATCTTTGGTACCACTTCTGCAGAAACTACTACCTTTGGCACAACTTCTGCAGAAATTACTACCCTTGGCACGACTTCTGTAGAAACTACCTCTGCAGAAATTACTACCCTTGGCACCACTTCTGTAGAAACTACCATGGAAACCACTTCTGCAGGACCCACTTCTGCAGAAACAACCCTGCTCACCACTTCTGCAGAAACTTCTACCCTTGGCAC